CCTTTTTCACCCATGATGAGTTTGCATCCTTGATAAATGTTTGTACATTTCACATCTTGGTGTGTTCAATTTTGACACATAATTTTGCTAAACTAGAATTAATATTAAAATACAACAAAAAACTATAATCTGTTTTAATCTGAGTAAAATAGACTAAACTGAATGAATATGATGAAATTGATTACATGTAAAGGACATTTTTGTCAAAACACCGAAAACCCTGACTAAAACCAGAAACTGCAAAGACATCACCATAGCGAGTACATAGCGATGTTTTTTGACTATTCTGAACACTGTAGCATTGTGGCGGCGGGTTTGACACCATCAAGCACCACTTAAGTATTCTTGTAAATGTACAGATTTTGTTGGATAATAGAGCTTTTAAAAAGAACAGTTCCTGTAATGTGAAGAAATAAGCGTGTGTTCTTGGACCTGTGTGGCATATGGTATGAAAAAAAGGATTGTCACTTTACTCTTTCCTTGGCCAAGACTTCCTGGAGGTCCCATGAAGCCCCCTGCTGTTTTCTGGCCTGTTGAAGGTCTGTCATGTTGGGCTTGGCAGGCAATACCTCACCACTGCTTTCTCATGAATCAGTGTTTCCAAAATTATAGTTGTATCTCGCTTTGCCTTTTCTTTAGGGATATTGCATTTGGTATAGCATTTGTTCGTGATAGTCTTGTAATGTGGTCACATTGACAGAACTGGCATTCATATGCAGATTTGACTTCTTTTAAATGTCTCTGACTCTTTTCTGAAACTTAGTGAGCTGCTTCCCTAGACAGCATTTTAAGGCTTCACAGTCATGCGACACAAAGCCTGTTCCGAAAGTTAAGCAACATAATTATGCTGCCTTCTGAGTAGGGGTGTTTCTCCGAGGAAGGAGAGGAAGCAGCGGTGCCTCAGGAAAATTCAAATGAGAAAATAATTGAAAAGTATAAAAAATAAGAGACCAAACAGTGTGTAGGGCAGTCATTTTTCAACAGCAGATAAAGTTTCAGTGGGAGGCAGCATCTCATTTTCCTCCCATGAGCTCACTGCATTCTCACTGAGGTCCTATAACTTATGTGAATGCGATGGCGGAGCTTCAGTCCAGAAGCTACTTGAGAGGAAGCAATGCTACTATGCTGGGATTTGTCCTTCTGTCAGTGGAGTAATAGCTGTCAAGATCTTGTTTGCTAATGGTCCGTAAATCATCTTGAATGGGTCAAACCGAACAGATCTGTGGAAATGAATGGGAAACTATTAAAATGTACTTGTTTTTAAGCCACCCTCCCGTGCCTGAGGCCCTCATGACTCCTGTGTTCCTGAGGATTTAATGACTAATTGTCCAAAAAGAAGTTGACCGTTAATAATAACACTTCTACGACCTTAAAGGGATAGTTGACCCAAAAATGAAAATTCTGTCATCATTTACTTGCCTGTAAGTTGTTCTAAATCTGTATGAGTTTCGTTCTTCTCTTAAAGATAAAAGAAGATATTTTGAAGAAATGTTGGTAATCAAACAGTTGCTGGTGGTCCTCATTGACTTCCATAGTGTGGTTACCAAGCATCATTTGTGTAGCAGCCGTTGCTACAGTCTCTTAAGAAAGCCCTGTATCGTCTCACCCTTAAGGAATCATTAAAATATGCTAATTTGATACTGTGGTGCTTAATATTAGCACAGTTGAGGTTGGTTGTGCAGCACAAGAGGATTTTTATTGAAGAACAGAATTTATTTGAAATCAGTCGCTGATTTTAATCAGTTTAATGCAGCCTTGAAGAGTTGGGTTTCTTTCAAAGACAACTTCATTGTGATTCTAAACTTGAACAGTAGAGTAAATAGGAAACACTGGAATAGAGAA